GGGACCAAAGACGAAAGTGCTCTGTGGCGAGTGATGAAAGATGATGCAGCTAAATCTGAATGCAAGGACAACTCAGGAATCATGTTGAGTGGAAGGAAGAAGGAAGAGGATGGGTTAAATGCAAGCCCACAGTTCCCAGAGGGGGAGAACAGAACATGATCTCCTGGAACAGCGTGGGAAGGGGATCAATATCTGGGCGCATGACAGGCTTTTGAAGTGGGTGCGCATGAGTTCAAGAGGTGAGGAAGAGGAACACCTACTCTCACTTCCTTGAGAATTGCTATGCAACTGGGAGAAATATCGCCATTTCTGCCCTATCTCAGCAGAAGCATAAAGGCAGGCTTGGTCACAGAAATCTTAATTCACTGATGGATCCAATTTGCAAATGAATTTTAAAAATACTCCCAAGGGGGAAAGCAGTCTTGGTTTATTTATTTTTTCCTTAGGCGATAAACAAATTGGAATCAACAGATCTAGCCATCTGTTTATCATCATCATTAATTCTGTTGGGAGCCACCCAGAGTGGCTAGGAAAACCCAGCCAGATGGGTGGGGTATAAATATTATTATTATTATTATTATTAGTAGTAGTAGTAGTAGTAGTAGTAGCAGTAGTACATACTGCCCCCCCCCCATTTTATCCTCACCACAGTCCTGTGAGGTAGGTTTGGCTGAGAGTGAGCAACTAGCCCAAGGTCATTCAGCAATCTCAGTGGGGATTCGAATCTTGACCTCCCAGTTCCCAGGGAGCTTTTTAAGGGTGCTGAGAATTGAAGCTTTGTGAGGGGTGAGCTACAGTTCCCTGGATTCTTCAGGGGGTACCAAGGGCTTTAGATGTGTGCTGCGGCTACGGCACCACTGGGGAAATTCTGAGGGCAGCGCCTGCCTTTCTTTCCTTAAATGTTCCCATTCCCTGCCTTGCTTCGTTTCTAAAATCGGCAGCATCTAGCTAGGACACCTCCTCTCTGTCTGTTTTTATCCCCTTTGTTTGTGCCCCTGGTTAGTTGACAGTGGGAAACTGTGTCCCAGGCTCACAGAGGTCCCTGTCTCTGGGTTTGAAAAGCCAAGCCAAGAACGACGTCATCCGAGCCTCTGGCCTGCGATGCTGGATTGACTTGACGTACCAAGTTTTTCACATTCCTGGGGCCATGCAAGACTCAAGAAAAAAGGAACATACTCCCTTCCGAGCAGGAACCTTGGCTAACTCATCTCCCAGAGCTGCTATAAAGGCCACTTCTCACCGGCTTTCCTTCGGTCAACAAGAAAAACAGCTGAATAAATACCCAACATACCATGCATTCAGATACAAATGTTCTGGAACAAGATGGGTTGCTAAGCCAGCAGGGAGGTAGCTGGTACCCTGGGCAAGGGGACAGTCTGAAGTTTACATTGCATCCATTGGGAAATAACAGGGGAATACCAGTTAATCCTGATGTCCCACGTGTGGGGGGAAACTACAAAAGATAAACAGCTGGCTGCCTGAATTAAAAAATGCTGGGCTTGACTCACTCTGGGACAAAATACCCCCCAGCAAATTATGGGAAATATACATTGTTAGACCTTTAAATGTCCTGGTATTAAGCGCTTTCAGTTGTACTCTACCCCTGTTGGAGTGAATAGACTAGAACCTCAAGTAAGTTTAAATGCTTTACTTACAGTAAGCTGAGATCTCACTTAGGCAATAGTTTATAAATGACTGCAAAGAGATTCGTTCCAAAGACGTTTTATCTTGTTATGTTTTCAGGAGCTTTGTATGTTTCAAAACATGCTTCTCCATTAATAAAACCGTTTCACAAGAGCTTACTGTTATACAAAAGTAGCTTCTCCAATAAATAATACAGAGTTCCAGTTAATAACTGGAGTTTATAATAATCCAGTTTATTACAATAAATAATACAGATTTCCACTTCCTGGTGACAGGGAGAGGGCTTGAATCTACAGGTGGCGAAGAAGAAGAAGAAGAAGAAGAAGAAGAAGAAGAAGAAGACGACGACTATGCATGTAGCTTGCAAGCTTCAGCCCGGCAGGAGCTGGCTGCAAATTATAGCATAGACACTCTGGGTGGGGGTTTTCCTTCCTCTGCTCCCAATTAACCTCCATTTTCAGGGCCTGCTCCATGACAGGACCAGGGACCACCCTGTGACATCAGAGGGCCCTCCCCGACATGACATCACCAAGGACCACCTCTAGGTCTCAGGTTTGAGCCCTGAAATCTCAGAGTTTGGGATGCTCCTGACCTGGCAACCTTACATCCTAAACAGCTGGTGGGAGCTCAGCCCATGTGAGAATTTTGCCTTTGTTTTAAATTGGCTCACATACAACATTTGGAAGAAGAAGAAAATGGGAAGGGAGGAGAGGAGATTTTCCTGACGTGGGGCGGTCGGCTGGGAAAAAGACTTCTTCTGTGCTTCAGAAGAAGCAATTGGCTGTTTTCATGTTTTCGTTTCCTTTAATGAGGGCTGGTTTTGGTCACCTTTTTCCTAACCTGGAGCTTGCGCCCCCAAAATAGTAACTTTAAGTGGTTCTTCCGCCAGCTGCTTATGAGCAAGCCAAAGGCTCATTATCCAGAAGGAACAATTAAGCATCGCCAATTACCTTGGCAGCTCCTGAGAGACTCTGGTACGGGCCAGCCAGTGCCCTTGTATAATCCGGCTGAGCATGGAACAGCAAATGTTCTTGGCTTTGGTATGATCTGTGTTTATCATTAAAAAGGTACCGTTTGACCACCGCAATCTTTTCTCCCGGAGCTGCAGGATTAGGAGGGGAAGGGAGTGAACTTTCTGATTTCCTCCCTCCCTCTCTCTTCTTTCCCCCTTTTTTGCTGAGCTGGATATTATTCCTTTATAATATTAATATGTTGGCACCCTTCATGACAATAGATTCCAGGTCAAATTATGGATTTCAGGGTGGCGGAGTTCTGGAACAGCGTGAGAGTTGTGGAGCTAGGCGGTGAATCTGTTTGTTTGTTTTTAAATAATTTTTTTAATGATTTTCATGGATCACCAAAAATATGCACCGTCTTTTTTTCAAGTTGGTAAGGTCCTTTTAGGGACACGGGTGGCGCTGTGGGTTAAACCACAGAGCCTAGGACTTGCAAATCAGAAGGTCGGCAGTTCGAATCCCCACAACGAAGTGAGCTCCCGTTGCTGGGTCCCTGCTCCTGCCACCAAGCAGTTCGAAAGCACATCAAAGTGTAAGTAGATAAATAGGTACCACTCTGGCGGGAAGGTAAATGGCATTTCCGTGCGCTGCTCTGGTTTGCCAGAAGTGGCTGAGTCATTCTGGCCACATGACCCAGAAGCTTTACGCTGGCTCCCTCGGCCAGTAAAGCGAGATGAGTGCTGCAACCCCAGAGTTGGTCACAACTGGACCTAATGGTAGGGGTCCCTTTACCTTTAAAGTCCTTTTTCATGTTTGATGTGAGACATTATACAGAATAAGGTGGGGGAGGAAGAAGAGAGAGAAGGGGGAAACGGGACTGGGGTTAGGTGGTGAATCTTCTAACAACCCCCTCCTATAAATAGGCACTTACTGATCATTAAGTAGGATTGCCATATCTTGAAGAGCAAAAAAGACAAGCGTCTGAGCTGCTGCCAGCCTGAGTTGGGAAAAGAGGTGTGCAGGCATGTATCCCCCACCCCCAAAAAAGAGGGCACGCCCAGGATTTCCCAGACGTATGGCAACCCTATATTAAAGGAGCATCAACCAATCATTCACGCAGGGCCAGATTTAGGTTTGATGAGGCCCTAAGCTACTGAAGGTAATGGGGCCCTTTCTACGTCCAGCTGTCCTTTGTCAACAACAAATGATCGCTGTTTTTTGTGCTGAATATATGCTATATGGTAATTTATGGACCTGATAGGTATCTAAAGCCATTTGCAAATAACAAAATATGTATTTTATCGAAGTAATTGTTACAACCAGTCCATGCAGAATGTAGGCACCCTATATATAGAAATGAGCAAACCAGTGATATTTTAGGGAGCAGGCTAGCAGGCGGGGCCCATGACTTACATCATAGGAGCCTACACAACACAAAACACTGTTGCTGTGTGTAGGTTTTATTTTATTTGTTTTTTTATCTTATATTTTGGAAATGTACATCCAGGTTTTTTTCCCCCTTAATTTTTTGGGGCCCCCAAAAAGAGTGGGGCCCTAAGCTATAGCTTGTTTAGCTTATATGTAAATCCGACACTACATTCACACAAACTGAGATGGCGCTTTGCTCGAAGATTGGCAGCTCGCCATCTCCAGCAGTGACCAGCTAGCGATTCTTTCTGAAGCCGAAGGCAATGGCTTCCCTCCAACAGGCCAAATACATCTGAACAAGGTCCTTTGAAAGCCAAGGGTCATATTCCAAGAAACTGTTGTTCGAGGATACAGGGCAAGGCTAGGGGAGCTCTTTCTAGGCATGCTTGGACTTCCCTGTTCCAAAACATGTTTTCTTTTATTAGCAGCTAATTATTAATCCCCCGCTGGAGGGGAGAAGAAAAAAAGAGAACTTTGTAACATGGGCAATGGAGCATCTCAGCTTTTTAAGTAGCTCAAACACATTTACACCACTCTGCACCATCGAGAAATTGCTAGCTGGCCCTGCGGATTAAAGACATAAAGGAACCAGAAGTTTCCCGCTGGGCGAGATGAATGGCTTGTCTAGCCTAGCAACTCATTTCACACAGGGACGCAAAGAAGCTCCAGTAAGGGAAGGGCTGGTTGTTTAACTCCTGTGTATATTATTCGGAGGTAGACTGTCTCTGACAATGGAGGTTCCAGTTAGCCATAAATGACTCATTTACCCTTTGAACGGCCTTCTTTGAATTATGCATCCATTCTGACCTATGCTTCCACAAAAAGACCTGATCTGAGCTACTGTGGGAGACCCTAAGAAGAATATTCTGGGCAGGATGCAGTGAGCCACTAGATATAGAAGAATCATAGAATTGTAGACGTGGATCATAAGGGTCATCTAGTCCAACCCCCCCAGCAACACAGGAATCTTTTTGCCCAATGTGGGGCTCGAACCCAAGACCCTGAGATTAAGGGTTTCATGTTCTACTGATTGAGCTATGCTGTGGAGAGATGAGGCGGTCTCTCCAGTAACCTGCTCCTGAGCTGTATAGGCCCAAGGGAAGGCTATTCCATGTGTCTGGGAGGTTATTCCAAAGTCTAGGGTGCCACAGCCGAGAAGGCCCCGTTGTAAGAAGAGCCCTGATGGAACAGACCAAGGGTCTGTCAAGTCCAATATCTTGAGTGCCGCAGTGGTTATCCAGGGCATGGCAGCAACAGTCCTTTCCCTGCTGTTGCTCCACAGCAACTGGTATCCTGTGGTATACTGTTGCTGAACATGGAGGTTCTATTTAGCTACACCTGTACCCAAGGGCAAAATCTCTCCCAGTAAGCTGCCCTAAAAGGGAGACAGCTCCTACTAGGTCTTCTTTGTGGCAATGAGGTGCCTCCAGAACTTTTCAACGGGGTTTAATTTTATCTATCTATCCATCTGCCCAAACATTAATAAACCCCCCTCTTGTATAGCGCAAGGAGGAGTTTGACGTGCGTTGTCTGCAAGTTGCCTGATGTATCTTTGGCTTGTGGATCGATGCTGACATTTTTCAGCAATTGGGTCAATTAGAGACGAGCAACGGTTGAAAGCTCTCAGGGATGGTGAATAACCAAGCAAAGGATGTTCTCTGCCCTCCTTCTCTCTGCGTTTGAAAAGGTTTCTCATCAAATGCAGTGTGTTTTTGAGATTGCTTTGTCCCAGGCACTTGAAAAGAAAACCCTCTTTTTCTCTCTCTCTCTCCGCCACACGAGCACACAAACACACACCTTATCTTTCTGACCCACTTTTCAAAATAAAAAGAGTTCCAACATGTCTCCTGAACGGGCACAACAGCCTCTTCCTCTATTGTGCTTCTCCCAGCTGCTGGAGGAGAACAGCTGCTTTGTGGTATATTTCCCCATTGAAAAAACACAAAACAAAAACTCAGGTTTGCTTAACTGCCGTAATTAGCAGGCCCACCCACTTCCCTTCTAGGTTGCCTGCCTAGGGAAGCTTATGAGGTCAAAATGTCTCCTGTTACGTCTCTTTCTGAATCATAAGAAATAGATGCCTGATCAAGGAGAGTGTCACTGGGAGCTTTTGATAAAGTGTGGTATATAAATTGAATTAATGATGTTGGTGATGATGTCAGGTTTAGCAGTATGGTTAAGTATGCTACAGTGGCCGGAGTCCGGTCAAAGTCCGGCCCTCATCACCACATTTTGAACTCCTAGTAAAAGGTAAAGGGACCCCTGACCATTAGGTCCAGTCGTGACCGACTCTGGGGTTGCGGCGCTCATATCGCTTTATTGGCTGAGGGAGCCGGCGTACAGCTTCCGGGTCATGTGGCTAGCATGACTAAGCCACTTCTGGCGAACCAGAGCAGCGCACGAAACGCCGTTTACCTTCCTGCCGGAGAGGTACCTATTTATCTACTTGCACTTTGATGTGCTTTTGAACTGCTAGGTTAGCAGGAGCTGGGACTGAGCAACAGGATCTCACCCTGTCATGGGGATTCAAACTGCTGACCTTCTGATCGGCAAGTCCTAGGCTCTGTGGTTTAACCCACAGCGCCACCCGCATCCCTTCGAACTCCTACAGAACCATATAACCAGATAACCAGACCCATAGCGGGCCTTTTTTATGTCAGGCAGAACATCATGCTTAGTAGCATCACCTTGTCCTTCGCTGGCCTGGCCCTACCATTAGGCAGAGAGAAGCAGCTGGCTCAGGCAGCAGAGATGGATGTGCTTTGGAGAGGGTAGGGATGAAGGAGAAATTTGAGCCTGTTCACTCTGAAAGCCCCATCTTTCAAATTTGCACTTTCTGAAGCGAAGCAAAGCACAGCCACCCGTTGAAATTTGCACTTCTCTGAATTTCGCAATGCGTTTCTTTGCTGAGCAACGCGTGCAAAAATGCACGCACTAGAGCCAAGTGTGGAAATATTAGTGGGAAGAACGCATTGTGTTAGGGGAGATTGCTTTGCGAAAACGTGCATTTAGAATTTGTTTATTTGCACTGAAATGCTGGCAGATTTTCTTGAGGATTAAAAGTAAAGCAAAATGCGGAGAATGGAATTTCAGGATGAGAAACCAAGACATGAGAAACCGAGAAAATCGAACTTTGGCAGATCCTCACATCCCTTGTGGAGTATGGCGGTGAAGTGTGAATAAACGCCCCATACAGCCTGCCCTGCTCCCCTCAGGTGTCGGGAAAGGCCCATGCCCATTGCCAGTTCCCAGATTAGGAAGGTGGGGAGCTGCCTTTTAGCACAGAGTCAGTCCTTTGATCCTCCTAGCTCAGCATCCCCTACACTGACTGAAGGGCCACATGTCAGCTGTGGGCAGGGCCAAAGTCAGTGTGGGACGGACCAAAGTTAAATGGGTGGGGCTATTTGCTTTCCTATCCCTTCCTGCCATCTCTCTCTCCCCCACTTCTCTGTGTACAGTGGTAGAGCCAGTGTGGTGTAGTGGTTAAGAGCGTTGGGCTCGTAATCTGGTGAACCGGGTTTGATTCCCCGCTCCTCCACATGCAGCTGCTGGGTGACCTTGGGCCAGTCACACTTCTCTGAAGTCTCTCAGCCCCACTCACCCCACAGAGTGTTTGTTGTGGGGGAGGAAGGGAAAGGAGATTGTGAGCTGCTTTGAGACTCCTTAGGGTAGTGATAAAGCAGAATATCAAATCCAAACTCTTCTTCTTCTATCTTGGTTCTTGAACTTAATCCATTCCGCGAGTCTGTTCGACTCCCGAAACCATTCAAAAACCAAGGTGCGGCTTATGATTGGCTGCAGGAGCTTCAAGCGGAAGCCGCGTCGGATGTTCGGCTTCTGAAAAACATTCGCAAACCAGAACATTTACTTCCGGGTTTGCGGTGTTCAACAACTAAGCCGTTCAGGAACCAAGGTACCACTGTGCAGTATGTGTGCGTGGCAGGGGTAGAGAGAGAAAGAAAGAGAGAAAGGTCTTTCTCTTTCCTCCCTTCCCTCTCTCCCTCCTCCTGCCTTCAGGGGCAAATAACAGCCTGGTAACAGGAGATTTTCAAGAGGAAAATGGCAGAATATTCCGGACGGTGCTCCCACACCTGCTTTTTCCTCAAACTTTTTAAAAAACCATTAATGGTGGGAAATGTAGCTGGCCCCCAAGCTTCCCAGCACCCACCAGACGGCCAGCTACTGCCTGGACATCATGCCTAAGACTTCCCAAGAAAACATCAAACAAATTGAACATTTTCTGAACGATGTGCACCTGTTGTCTGTCCCTTAAGGCCCATTTGGCACCTGTGTCCAGGTTACACCCAGAAAGTTCTGCATGTCATTCCTTATCCTCAGAGGCACCAATGTATGAAATAAAGCAGAAGTGTCAAAACTTTGGACGTTGGTAATGTGCTGCTGAATGATATAGATTCAGGCGGAGACTTCACAACAAGTCTGTTTGCTTTTGGGAACCAGTGAGCTGCAAATAACAGGAAGGACTGTGTCCCAGTCTGTGTTGATTTTTCCTTGTTCCTGATCGGCCAGTCTTCAGTCCTTCTCTCCTCTCCTTACCTGACCATGACCAGCACCTGCACAGAGGCTACAGCAAGCCAGAGATGGCAATTACGAGCTGAAAATGAGCTTTTTTTTTTTAAATAGTAGTTATTTATTTAACAAACCCACATATTCTTCATGAAAACATGGAAAATATCCCAGTTTCAAATGCATAACAGGACTGCTGCCCAAACACTCAACCATCCTGCAGAAAAACCTCTGGTATAAGGCTGTATAGTTTGTCCTTTATCTGAGCATTTACACATATATGTTTGGGATCAGAAAAATAGGCTACAGGACTTTCAGCAGCTTCCCTCATGATCCCCTCTATGTACAAGGAATGTTTTGACCGGCCCTGCTGCTGCTACCTATCCAGGGCTGGAACCTCCCCTTATAGCCAATGCAATTCTCTCTCCCCCTTGTAGCAGACCTAAGATCAGCTCTTAGGTTACAGCTGCTATGCTGAAGCTGTTGCACAGTAACACGCAAGAGTCATTCACCACACAGGTCACCCCAATTTGAAAGGTATTCAGGGTAGCAGCTAAACAAGACTCTCCAATAACTAGAAGAATCTACATGCTTCCAGCACATGACAGAAGCATTGCCAGTTTCCATGTAGCCACCATAAGCTGATAATTGCTTCCATCAATAAATAGGAATACAATTTAAAGCACCAATTGGCCTGACAGGAATATTTTCTGTCTCCCTGATTCAATGCTTCCTCACGCCCCACCCCCCTGCCTGCCCCCATACTAAGCTCCTGACGATCCTCATGAATTTTTTTTCATCTTGGGGCTTGGACTGAAGTGATCTTCCATGCCTCTTGGGACTGAGAGATGCAAAGAGTGAGACAGTTTGCAGGTAGCACACCTGGAAGCAAACTAGCTTTTCCAGAGAATTTTTAACCCACCAAACATCTAGAGGAGGGGAAAGACTTAGGCTACATTCACACCATTCCTTTAAAGCAGTGGAGTTAAGCCAGTGTGCTGTGGCACCCTGGGGTGCCTTGAAGGATGGTCAGGGGTGCTGTGGGCAACACTGGCCTCTGTCCCTCTTTCCTTCTCTCCCTCTTCTGATACCCTCTCGCGTCTTTGCCTCCCAAGGGCTTGAACAGCTGTTTGTTGCAGCAGACCTGGCTACAAGCTCCGCAGGCAAATGGTGCCACTGGCGCTGGCCAGAGGGTGCTTCCCAGGCCCCTGTGGGGCAGTGTGAGGAGGCATCTCTCTTTGGGGCGGAAGGGGGCAGCTCAGAGACCAGGGGGAGCAGCTGTGGCTGCCCAGAGGACTCTCAAGGAGAGAGGAGAGGAGGTTGAGGGAACACTTTACAAGGGGGGGGGGTTTCAAAAAGAGGTGGGGGCTGCCAGCTCTGCAGGCAAGGGGTGACACAACTGGGCTTCTGAGCCCCACAGGGACGCTGCAGAAAGAAGGTAGTTGGTTAAGGGAGCCGTGGACCCAAAACCTCTGCTTTAAACCTCTGCTTCGAACAGTCATGGCTTCCTGCTAAGAATTCTGGGAGCTGTCATTTGTTAAGAGCACCAGGGATCGTAACTCTGAACAAAGAGTTTCCCAGGACCCTCCGTTCCTGTTGAAGTGGCAAAATATTGCTTTTAAATGCAAGGTGTGTATGTGAGCACACGCAGGATTGCTTTGTGGCTAAGGCATAACAAAGCCACGATAAATTTCAGAGAAGAGAGGGAGGCACATGTTAAGAGGGGGGGAAACTAAGAAATTGGTGGCACTGCCGAGATATGTTTTGGCAAGTTCTTGAATGGGCATAAAGAGCCCACTTTGTCCTGTGAAGATATAAGGAGAGCCAGGATGCTGCCTCAGGCCAAAGGTCCATCTAGTCTAACATCCTGTTTCTCACAGAGATCAGCCATGTGGCACTGGGAATCCCGCAAAGAGGACGGGAAAAGCAATGTTCCTTTTCCCTCGTTGCTCCCCAGCCGATAATAACTCAAGAGGCTTTCTGCCTCTTCAAACTTGTCTTCCATCATACTATGTCTTGAACTCCATGGAACTCAAGTTGCAATACAATGAAATACGGTACAGTGGTGCCTCGCAAGACGAAATTAATCCGTTCCGCGAGTCTCTTCGTCTTGCGGTTTTTTCGTCTTGCGAAGCACGGCTATTAGCGGCTTAGCGGCTATTAACGGCTTAGCGGCTATTAACGGCTTAGCGGCTTTAAGAAAAGGAAACAAACTCGCAAGAATTCGCAAGACGTTTCGTCTTGCGAAGCAAGCCCATAGGGAAATTCGTCTTGCGGAACGACTCAAAAAACGGAAAACCCTTTCGTCTAGCGAGTTTTTCGTCTTGCGAGGCATTCGTCTTGCGGGACACCACTGTACAATCTAAGAAGAGGAACAACAACAACAATTTATTATTTATACGTTGCGCCTCGCAATTGGATGCCCCAGCTATTCTGAGCGGTTTCCAAACAGGGGTACCAACTTAAATAAAATATTGGGGAGGGGGCAAGTAAGCCCTGCCCTGAATAATTGATCACATGACACAGTGCATGGACACCATTTGCATTGCAATGCCTGTCAACTTTGGGGGGGCCAGGCTCCTCAAATATTTTATTGGGGGGTGGCAAAGCCCCCTTGGCCCTATGGAGTTGTCTCTTATGATTCCAACCAATATAAAACCACAGTAAGACATCAAACATTAACAACTTCACTAAACAGGGCTGCCTTCAGATGATTTCTAAAAGTCAGATAGTTGTTTATTTCTGTTATGTACTGAGTTGAATAGGATCCAAACTGCAGCAGTCTGATTGGTCCTAGAACAATAGGATCCAAATTGCAGCAGTCTGATTGGTCCTAGAACAATAGGATTCAGAATGCAGCAGTCTGATTGGTCCTAGAACAATGCAGCAGTATGATTGGTTGGCAGGAACCACCCAATCATGCTCCTGATATAAGTGAATCCACAACCTGATTGGCTTACAGTAGAATTCCAGAATTAGCCAATGATGTGCAGCCCATTGTGTAAATAATGTATATAAAGCAGATACTTTGAGGGGACTTTCATTCATTCCTCCTCACCACTATGAGCTGAATAAAGAGCATGAAATCACTTTGTGACTCTGAGTATATTTCAATTTCCTTGACATCTGGTGGGAGGGTGTTCCACACGGCAGGCGCCACCACCAAGAAGGCCCTCTGCCTGGTTCCCTGTAACTTGGCTTCTTGCAGTGAGGGAACCTTGGCGCTGGACCTCAGTGTCTGGGCTGAACGATGGGAGGGAGACGCTCCTTCAGGTATACTGGGCTGAAGCCATTTAGGGCTTTCAAGGTCAGCACCAACACTTTGAATTGTGCCCGGAAACGTACAGGGTAGATATTTTAGAACTTGGTGTTAGATGGTCCCTTGATATGGATACTATACTTCTGTTGATGCAGCCTAGAACAGCATTAGCTATTAATTCAAAAGCACTAGCTGTGTTTTTCCTTCTTCAACAAATGTTCTTCTCATGTGGAATTGATGCCCTTACTTTAATATCAAAGCCTCCATTTATCAACAATGTGTTCATCCACGGCTTCTGCTAGCTTCTTTTTCCACCCGTAGGAAATCTGTCGCTGATTACATTGGCTATTTTTAGCATTTCACTGCCCAATACACCAAACTCACAACACTCATCGTAGCCTTTCAGGGTATAAATAGCACTTGTTAATATTTATTTATACAAAACGAGGAGCAGATTTCCTGACGCTGCTGGTCAATTGCCATTAATTGGCCATCACAAGGGTCTGTCTGGGATTAAATCACAAAGTGGACAAGAAGGGAGGGCAATGGGATTGTGTGGTTGACCTATTCGTTTCCCCTTCCCAAAGCAATGTGCTTTCTATCTTTAAAAATGACGAAAGCATCTGTAGTCATTACATTATTCACATCCCCCAGTTTTCATCCTTGCAATGACATCGTCTCCTTCCAGACTTTTCATGGTTTTGCAGGTGGAATTCAAAGGAAACGTGAGGAGACTGCAAGGTTCACTGTGAAGGAATTGGAGGACCCCATTGATAAAAACCAGAAATATTAACAATGAAAAATTCCTTGCTTTAGCAGCAGGAGACCTGATAAGAGAAGAGGCTGGACCCTAGAGGACAAGCGAGTCTAAGGTCGACTAAAGGAGGGTACAGAGATTGCAGAGATGCCAAAGTAATTTTCTGCATCTGTCTTCACGGGGGGGGGGGGGGAGGCAGGGCAGATACCAGGAAAAAAACAGTGGAAAGTGTGAAATAACAATGATGTTGTATAACCTTCCCTGAATGACTATTAATCCTTGGTAAAACAGCAAACGTTGTACAACCTCCCTGTAAAACTCCATGCCTGAATTAAAAACTTGTCTGGAAGCAACTTGAGACTCGTAGTCTGTTAACTCGCATGGTACTTGTTACTTATATAAAAAGTCAAAGCAAAATTCCAAAATGCATTTGCAAGCCCAGTCACAGATCCCAGGAACTCAGGCCCAGTTGAATTAGACACAACACAGCATAGTTATGGTATTAGGCCACAACTTTATTAAATTTCAGATGGCTTAGGCATTGGGCATATATTCCTCTCAGCCCCCGACTGGGGGCTGAGGCAGAGAAGGTGTAGCCTTATGAGGCTTTGCCCTCGGGTGGGAAAAATATTGCGCCCGGGAAAGGGAGATGGGAGTCAACAGACACTCAAGGAATGGTTTCGGAGAAAAAGCTTTATTTCTACCATCCATGAACTGGTAGAAGGAGCAAGTGTGATAGTTCACAAACAAGCACGGGTTCACAGTCATTTGCACAGAGCATATATTCCCCTTCCAGTTCCCTCCCCTTTCTCCTCCTCTTCAAGAGTCCTGCCCCATGTTGAGTTTCCTGAGCATGAACAGAAAACTCCTGTCTTTGGGAAAGGGGGGGTGAGAAGCCAAGGGGGTCAAGGAGCCTTGTGGTTCAGCATGTCCAAGACGTTGCAACTGAATGAGATAAGATTCAGTTCTCAGGCCTGAGTATTCTTGGCATTGACACTTTGACAGAGTCTATTCATTAGCCTTTAAAAGTAACATTTTGCCTATGCACAGCATCTTGTGAGAGAGCAGTTTGAGGCCTGGGGTGATTATTGAGGGGTGTGTGGGTGACTTCGGGCCTAGGTGGGGTCACCTGTCCTCACCTTCCTTCAAAGGGAAGACAGGAATTATGGGAGACACAACGGCCAGCCCAGGGATGGCGTGATCCCAGGAGTCAGAGAAAGGCGCGCCGGGTCGCTGTTACGGTAAAATCTGGGTGCGAGGCTGCTCTGCCACCCAGCTTGTCGGACTAAGTCCGCGGGTCCCTGCGGAGGAAAATGAGCTCAGCCGGAGACAGGAGCAAGCTGCAGAAGATCCAAGTTTATTGCGCAACAGGTTCAAGGCGAGATTGAGCAGCGAGAAAGGGGTGACATGAACTTTTGAAACTTCCTCCATGTCCCAGAATACAGTGCAAAATACATCCCAGTTACATCATGAATACATTAAGAAGAGGTTGGGTTACACAGATTACATCACGAATATATTAGGAAGAGGTTGGGTTACACCGGATTAACATATGGAGGAGGGAGGGGGGAATATGCAGAGCTGGAGATATGCGCAGATAAGCACATCCTGAGTACCTGATGAGAAGACAATGGTCCATGTATGCATAGTCTGCCACCTGGCATTGCCCGGAGGAAAGGCTTGGCAGAGTGATTTGACAGGATTAGGGTCTTGACACCTTGCTTGAGGGATTATGGAGGACAGGGGAGGTGTCATGGAGTCCTAGAGAAATTGAGCAAATTGGCACGTTGATTTTCTATGAATTTTATAGATTTTAGTCTCTTTTGACATTGACAATTGGAAATAAATGGATATATTGTAGTGAAGAAGAAGGTGAAGAAGACATGCCCCCCCTTCCGTATCAGTCGCAAAAGCCGATCACATCAAGACTGGTGAGCAGTCAATTAGAGCAGTATTTCAGGACTTGTTAACAGGTTTGCACAGGTTGTGTTTGCCAGTTTAGTGCAGCAGTTAAGTGTGTTGGGACTAACAACCGGGAGAACAGGGTTCAAATCCCCACTCAGCTACAAAAACTCGCTGGGTGACCTTGGGCCAGCCCCTCTCTCAGCCTAGCCTACCTCTCAGGGCTGTTGTGAGGATAAAATGGGGATAACTATGTATGCTGCCTTAATGTCCCTGGAGGTTATAAATGTAAAAATGAATTAATTTTTTTAAAAATGTATTTTGTGGTTTTTTAATTGTGATTTTATGTTGTGAACCACCCTGAGATCTATGGGTATAGGGCAGTATACAAATTTAATTAATAGCAACAATTTAGGTTTATTTTTGAGTAAACATAGCTGCAAATCAATTTAAATTTGATTGTTTTCTGTGATGCACGAGTATTGTCTTTTATGATTAAGGGATTATTAGCTTGCTTGTTTTATTTGGTAGAAAGCTGGAGAACAGCAGCACTAGTGATGATAATAAAAAATAAAACAGTGTTAAATTAACTTGCAGTAATTATGGTATTAAAAAATAACGTCCAGTGCTTCTGCGGTCCAAGCATGTGTGTGTGTGCAGGCTTACTCGCGCGTAAGAACCTTGCATCCCAGCAAAACCTCATTCCCAAAATGAGTTTATGTAGGAGATTCCAATGGCAATTTTCACCTAGGTAAGTTTGCACCGGGTTGCAGGCTAAGATGCCTCTGGAACAGCTAACACGGCGGCGGCAGCGGCAGCATCCCATGTGCAAAGGAGGAGGAGCAGCCAAGCTGACGCGCAAACTCTGAGACCAGTTTTGCAAGGGCGAGAGGTTTTTCGTGCTTTTCTCGCGACGCCCGGAAAAGTGGGGGAGGGGGAAGAGGAAAGGGAAAGAGAGAGAGAGTGCACGAGTGCAAAGCTTAAAAATAGCAGCGTGCAAAATAAATAAGGGCAAGCACTAAATAAAAGGAGAGGAAGATTTTTCTTTTTAAATAATGCATGCAATTAAATGAATAACGAAACAGGAGCAAGCTAGCAGGAGGAGAGGAAGAATTCTTTTAAAAAATATATGCATGCAATTCAGTAAATAAGGAAACAGGAGCAAGCAAGCAAAGAGGAGAGGAAGGAATTTTTTTAAAAAATATATGCATGCAATTAATTAAATAAAAAAGGAAACAGGAGCGAGCAAGCAAAGAGGAGAGGAAAGGAAAAATTAAAAAAATACGCATGCAATCAAATAAATAAGGAAACAGGAGCAAGCGAGCACAGAGGAGGCATCCAGAGGCCATGGCGACGCCTGGAGGAGCGTCGGCCGTCGGGGGTTCTCGCCCCGACGAGCAGCCCTCGGCGCCCCCCGGAGCCCCCCAGGCCGCGGCCCCGGCGGGAGAGCAGCAGGCGCCGCCTCCGCCCCAGCAGCAGCCCTCGCCGGCCGAGCAGAAGTTCCAGTCTCCCGCCGGGCAGGCGCCTCCGCCCCCGGGCCAGCAGCAGCAGCAGGGACCCCCGCCGGCGCCCGGCGCCCACCCGGGCCAGGAGGACTACTCTTTCCTCCCCCTGGTGCACGACATCATCAAATGGTAAATGGCCCCCGAGGGAGGCGGGTGGGTCGAGGGTGGAGAGCCTCCAGGGACAGGGGCAGTCTACCGCTGAAGGGGGGCAGTGGGGAACAATTTTCGGGAAACAATTCACCGGCGCTGGTTATGGCCTTAGAAAGCGCTTAGGTCCAGGCTACCCGAAATAGACTGCACCAACCTGCCCCGGGCTCTTGAGTCCCTTTCTGGAGAGGCCGTTTCTCCTGCCAGCCTCATGGGCACTCTTGGTAGGGTTGAGGGACGGGGCCTCCTCAGTGGTGGCCTCCCCCAGGCAACTTTGGAACTCCCTGCCTCAAGAAGGTAGGCTGGCTCCTTCCCATGGGCAGGTGAAGATTGTCTTATTTCGACAGGCCTTTGGACTGCTTTTAAGGAAAGAGCTGGAGCAGTGCTGTTTGTATTGTAATTGCTTGTAGGGGTGTATGGGGCATTAGGGGGAGAGGTCGTTCCTCTGGTGGGGGACACGCTGTGCTCCTTCTGGGGTAGTTTGCCCACCTTTAGTTCCCCACCTTGCACTTGGCTCTCACCTGTGGCTCCTAGAAGCTTTCAGTCATTATATTATTATATTATAACAGCGGCCACAACCCGAGAATGGCTTCGGTTGGCTGGCTAAACCAGGTGAGGTGAGGGGATTAAGGACTCCTCCAGCATGTGAAGACTCATAGAATCAGAGACTTGTGCAGTTGGAAGGGACCACGAAAGGCCCTCTATTCCAACCCCAGCAATGCAGGAATCTTTTGCCCAATGTGGGGCTCAGACCCACGGCCCTGAGATTGAGAGTCTCATGCTCTGCCGAATGAGCTCTGGGTGAAACCAAGAGTGGAACCAATGGTCAAGGAGGCGGTTTCTGCACATGCTATAGAGCAGCTTTTCTCAACCTGTGGGTCCCCAGATGTTGTTGAACTACAACTCCCATCACCCCTAGCTAGCAAGGCCACAGAGCTCAGGGATGATGGGAGTTGTAGTCCAGCAACATCTGGGGACCCACAGGTTGAGAACCGCTGCTGTAGAGAGAAGAGAGGGATGGATGGAGCTTATCCACATCTGAAGGCAGAAACTCTGATCCAAAATCTCCGCTGCCTTGTGGGGTATCTTCGGGGGAAGAAAAGCCTAAGGAATAAACCCTACACAAATCTGGATTGGAGTCCCTAAGACGGTTGGATGGCACCTTGTACGCCTCCTTCCAGCAACTTCTGCAGCCAAACTGGTGCCAAACGTCTTGCTCTGCTTTCCTTTGGACCGCATCAGCGAGGCCGAGAACGGGGTATTTTGCTTGGGCAGCCCAGGACCCCATATACCCTGCCCAGGCTTGCACCACAGAGAGAATATTAGAATCATAAAATTGTAGCGTCAGAAGAGAACCCAAGGATCGTCTACTCCAGGCATAGGCAAACTCGGCCCTCCAGATGTTTTTTTGGAACTACAACTCCCATCATCCCTGAACCCTGGTCCTGTTAACTAGGGATGATGGGGAGCTGTAGTCCCAAAATGTCTGAAGGGCCGAGTTTGCCTCTGCCTGGTCTACTCCAACCTGCAATTCAGGAATCCTGCTCACAGCTGTCCCTGGGTGGGTTTGAATCAACCTTATGGTTAAGAGCCAGACACACTGACCCATGGGGGTATGTAAAGGGGTTCGGGGTTCACCTCTTCCCTATTTTATCCTTGCAATGGCCCTATGAGGCAGAGAGAGTGTGACTGGCCCGAGGTCACTCAGTGAGTCTGGTGGCTGAGCAGAGATTTGGAATCAGAGAATTGTAAGGATTGTAAAGTTGGAAGGGACTCCGAGAGTCCTCTATAACAACAACAACAACAACAAGAATTTATTACTTATACCCTGCCCATCTGGCTGGGTTTCCCCAGCCACTCTGGGTGGCTCCCAACAGAATATTAAAAACACGATTAAACATTAAAAACTTCCCTAAACAGGGATGCCTTCAGTTGTCTTCTTAAAGTCAAGATAGTTTTATCTCCTTGACATCTGGTAGGAGGGCCTTCCACAGGGCAGGTGCCACCACCAAGAAGGCCCTCTGCCTGGTTCCCTGCACCTTCACTTCTCGCAACGAGGGAACCGCCAAAAGGCCCTCGGAGCTGGACCTCAGTGTCCGGGCTGGATGATGGGGGTGGAGACGCTCCTTCAGGTATACAGGACCGAGGCCGTTTGGGGCTCTAAAGGTCTTTAAACATTTTTTAAAGTAGCTACAAAGAAGGTCATGAACGTTTCCGAGAATTAAAGGCCTCTGTGTTCTGCATGCTGTCCCGGGAACATTGTGGCTCACGATGCTTCCGTGGGCGCCTGCTTCCTCCCAATTCCCTGTCGAATTCCCATTCCTGAACCCGTGGCGCCCTGCTACCATAAATGGCATGCGAACGTCATCTTAGCTGCTCTCTTCCTCTCTCTCCCTTCAGCATGGATAAAGACAGCCAAGACGTCCACCAGGTTTTGAACGAGCTGAGGACCAAATTCGTGGAGGTGCGGAAGGTGGTCCAGACTATGCAAGGGATCTCTGTGAGTCCTGAGCAGCAACAGCTGCAGCTTCAAAGCCTCCGGGAGCAAGTCAAGACCAAGAGCGAATTGCTGCAGAAGTACAAAAGCCTCTGCATGTTTGAGATCCCCAAGGATTAGGCAGGAAGAGACCCGAGGCTCTGCAAAGAGACTCCGCTAGTTCTGGAAGCGGTCCGAGGGAATTGCAGTGCAAAGGGAAACACAATTTTCTTGCAGCAGCTCATAAGCTGTAACACACCGTCCTGGTGCACATTGGTGTTTTGGTTTAGAGGCCCAGTTTCAGCAGAACGGGGAATGTGCCTTTTGCATTTTGCAGGCGGGTGGGAGTTGCACATTTTGTATGCTCCTCAGTCTTAAAAATAACTAAAACTAAAAAACAAAACAAAACCCTGCACATGGAAAACTAGAATGTCAGGGAGAAAGATTCCCTGACATGCTGCTTTTCCAGAAGCAGGGAGCTGGTGCTTTGTTTGCTTTTCTTCTTCTTCAGTGGATGTACATTCAATACAAGCAACACCTTTCCACTAGTAGCTTCCTCCACCCGTTGTTTGAAATGTATAAACTGGGTCCAAGAGGATGCTAGGGCAGGCTGTTAGTATTTCCCTTCATCACCCAGTACCTAAGAAGGCAATTACCTGCTTGCTTTCGCTGAGGACATCAGGAAGCAGCAGGAGAGAAATCAGGAGACGGACAAAATGACAAAAGCATGACTCCTTTAGTATTCCTGGAGACTTAAGAGCGGGTGAAGTCTGCTCCTGTTTCTGGGGAAGGAAACAGGTTGGCAGGGCAGCCTCAGTTTACAAATTTGTGTATATTTGTTTATAGATTCTTTTTGGTGGGTTAAGCCTTCTTTAGAAAAATGATACTTTTAATAATTTGCTTATATGTCTGTTTTTTGGGGGAAACCCTGAAAAATAAATCTGGGACTGTGCCGCAGACACTGCCTCTTAGCTAAGTCAACCTGTAACTAGATTCCTTGCATGGAATAATTATATTATTTGTGTAGTTCTTCCCGGTTTGCTCGTGCAATTGTTCGTTTGTTTAAGAAGCTGATCGTCGCATTTGGTGCAGCAATAATCCAGTGACAGTCATGGGAGATTCCATTGCAGAACTATTCTGACTTCTAAAACCTCGCTGGCTTGCTGTGCCAGCAGAAAGTCTGTAGCCTTTCCCCCAATCGGGAGAGGTATTGCTTGTCTGTTTTCTGTCTGTCTTACTTGCTAAATTTATATGGCAAATGCACAAGCAACCAAACATTTAAAAACAATTCCAATACAGATGCAAACTGAACGATTGGCGTATGTTTTCTCAGAATCGTAGACGGGGACCCCGAGGGTCATCTAGTCCAACCCCCTGCGATGCAGGAATCTCAACTTTGCATTGCACTGTTTTGCCAGGAGAAGGAAAGGGAGCACAATGCTCCAAATACCCGAAGGGCTGTTTCGTAAATGAGGACAAGAACGTTTTCCTCTGCTGCCCCAGAGAGACTTGTGGCTGTGAGGAGCGTGATTTGAACCCTGGTCTTCCAGGTCTTGGTCTAGCTCCCTAACCGCTGCACCACTAGAAAAATGAATCCATTTATGATGACTACGGAAGAACAGAAATGGAGGTGGGGGCAGACGGCGAGAATACCGAGTCCTTTTCCACGCACACACTTAGTCTTAATTGTAATATTTGCAGTAGGGCATTGGGACAAGGCGCCTTTGCGAAAAGTGTCAGGACAAAGCTTCTGAAACGCAGGACGTGCGTGGGGCAATACGACCTGAGCTATCTGATCTCTTTCCTGCTTGCCAACTTGAAATAACACTACCCTGCCTCTGAATCCATGGGAACTCTGCAATTTCAGCATCAGCAAGCGTGGGTCAGGATTATTTATCCCTACCGGCGCTGGTTCTCGCATCCAATCGGAGACCTGCAAAACAGGCAGGCTGCCGCAATGAAGGGGAAGGGGGCCGTGGCTGATGTCTGAATCCTCTGACCCCCACTGCCTGTCATTTACAGAGGCAAAAGGCATTGTCGGGGAGATGGGGGTGTTGCGTCGCCGGAGCTGCTGTTTGTGCCGTTTCAGGTGCGCGAGTACAGTACATTGGCCCCCACCCAAAGTCACGCGGGGAGAGTTCCCATTGTTGTTTTGTACTCAAGCTGCAGAGGACAATGCGGGTACATTACAGAGGGTGTGTTCGAGGAGGCCGCTAACGGGGTCATTGAGGGCTGCCTTCCCGCAGCTCACCCTTGGTACATTTAACGAAAATTGCCCTGCCGGCTGTTGACATTTGAGGGACCTGCAAACTTCCCTTCTGATTCAGGCGGTGATTCAGGCGGGGGCAAGATGTAAGGCACATACCTGAGGACTTATTCAGAGCCAAGTATTGATGCACAGGGAGAAAAATGCAGAGAGATTAAAGAACTTGACGTCAGGGGCTGCTTGCAGGCTTTCCGTGGGCATCTAGTTGGCCACTCTGAAAACAGGGTGCTGGATGGACCCATGGGAGTACTGGCCTGATCCAGCTTCTTCATAGGTTTCCAATCAGAAATAGGTTTCCATCTAACTGCTTCCAACATGGCTGGTTTGAACCTCACTCCCTGCACTCGACAGGCGCTCCGTCTTTTCACCGAAATGTGTGTGTGTGACCTACCCTCAGGAGACGCGGGTGGCGCTGTGGGTTAAACCACAGAGCCTAAGACTTGCCGATCAGAAGGTCGGCGGTTCGAATCCCCGTGACGGGGTGAGCTCCCGTTGCTCAGTCCCTGCTCCTGCCAACCTAGCAGTTTGAAAGCACGTCAAAGTGCAAGTAGATAAATAGGTACCGCTCCAGCGGGAAGGTAAACGGCGTTTCCGTGCGCTGCTCTGGTTCGCCAGAAGCGGCTTAGTCATGCTGGCCACATGACCTGGAAGCTGTACGCCGGCTCCCTTGGCCAATAAAGCGAGATGAGCGCCGCAACCCCAGAGTCGGCCACGACTGGACCTAATGGTCAGGGGTCCCTTTACCTTTAACCTACCCTCAGAGGAGGGAATCCTCAGACAGGGCTATAGCTCGGGTAGAAGATTTGGTCTGCGTACAGCAGCTTTTGACCTCTGTAGGCAAGGCTGGGGGAAACTGATTTGCTGGAGAGCCACTGCCAGCCATTATAGCCAAGGCTGAACTAGGTATGCCAATGGCGTCCCTGTTTAATTCACCCCTTTACTCAGAGTCATGAGGTCTGGAACCTTATTTATTTCCAATGGAAGGACTGTACTTCAATGCTTCAGCAAGTCCTTTCCTGCCTTGCATGGGGTTGAACTAGATGACTCTACAATTCTATTATTCCATTATACAGTGGTACCTCAGGTTACATACGCTTCAGGTTACAGACTCCGCTAACCCAGAAATAGTGCTTCAGGTTAAGAACTTTGCTTCAGGATGAGAACAGAAATTGTGCTCCGGTGGCACAGCGGCAGGCCCCATTAGCTAAAGTGGTGCTTCAGGTTAAGAACATTTTCAGGTTAAGTACGGACTTCCGGAACGAATTAAGTACTTAACCCGAGGTACCACTGTATTCTCTCTCTCTCTCTCTCTCTCTCTCTCTCACACACACACACGCAAAGTAAAAAAACCCCAACTAGTTTTGCAGAAGAAAAAAGGGATACAAAGAGCTTTTCAGAATCTTTGCCCCTCGCGTCTTGTAAATGCCAGGAAGGGAGGCCAACAAGGAAATGGAAATATGCAGTCTTAATTCCCATTTCCCTCTTTCTCCCTTTTCAGGCTGGGAGCATTAATGCTGCCGTGGGGGGGGTGTGTGTGTGTAATTATCCGGATGTGAGCGGTAGACTTGTTATTAAATTGCTTCCTGCGATGCTAAGGGTCTCCTCTCTGCAGACACGCTTGGCACATGTAAGAGGGGGCGAGGTGTTGGAGCGCACCCATGTTAAATACTTTTCAAGGGACATTTGCATGTGAACGTTTCCCCTGGTGCAAAAATAAAATAAAATCCCACCCCATTCTTCTTGGGTTCTTAGGAGAATCGCCATAGCCTGTGCATGCAGAAGGTTCCAGATTCAATCCCTGACATTTCCAGGTAGGGCTGGGAGTAGCTTCTTACTGAAAGACCCACTTCCAGTCTACTAGTGTCACAGTGAGCCGGTCAGAAAATCACACAGTTCTAAGCCAGAGTTAACCATTAGCAAAAGCACAGATCTTCACAGACCTGGCTGAGTGTCAGGCCTATTGGGCACAGCAAAGAAAATCCTGTGCCGCAAAACAGAACACTCAGAACAACAAAAGCAACAGCTTGGCTAATAATATACTGACTGTTTTTATAACACTCCACTGTTTCAAAATTCATAAACAGAAGACATTTAATATGTGCATGGAGTCACAAACTAAGAAGAATCAAATAAAGGCTCACATTTTGAACAATAATCCATACTCTGTGTCTCTACTACAGGTACATTGATGATTTTTTTTTTTGCTGTTTAGTAATGAATATGGTTTTCTACAGTTCTCCACTTGGATTAATTCAATACACCCGGCTTTATCTTTCTCAGGACATCATATATTTCTAGATGTTCAGGTGGTAAAACGGGATGGATACCAGGTACGTGTTGTCTATTGAGCACAGCAGCTCGTGCCCTGTAGGTTCTGCTCCATGAAATCAAGTGCTGAGACGGAAAGCCTCTCTCTCTTTTTTAATAAATCATTTTTATTGAGACTGAAAGCCTCTGCCTCCCCACAGCCGTCTAGGTCTCCTCTCCAAGGCTTCTTCCAAGCAGTCGGAGACTGTGCCTGTGCCTGTCTTTGCTCCACCCTTTTCATGCCTCTTCTGGTTCTGGGAGACCAGGGGGAAGGGGAGCTTGTTGTGGCAGCAAAGTCGGGGGGACACCTGTGATTCTTCACCAGCAGGACTCATCTCTGCCTCTTGGCCTCCCTCCTTTCCTGCTTCAGCTTCTTCCTCTCAGTCTGGACTTCTCTCTGCCTCAGACTCCCCCCGCTCACTAAGTCCTGTGACCTCTTCAGCTTCCGGCACCTCTTCCTCCCATCCTTCCTTCCTCTTCTCCCTATGACCATTCATCGTCTCACCAACGCTCCCCATCTCTGAGCCTTCTTCCCTGGAAAGAGAAGGAATGAACTATATTTCTGTGAGTGAAGAGTTAACTTCACTGATACCGGGTGTTTTATTGCTGATCAGCCCCAGACTCCAGCTCCTGACAGCACGGTCCCCTGGCCTAGTCCCTCCGTCGTTGTCCCCTGACGTGCCCATGCATTCGGTGCACCAGTGAAACTCCCCCCCAGTAGTGTGAAACCATTTTCAGTCTGAGGGCCACCTTCCCTCATGGAGAACCTTCCAGAGGCCACATGGCAGTGGCAGGCAGGGCACTGGTCAGAGGCAAAAGTTGGCAGGTGCAATGCTTTTCTTTCCAGCCAATCTTCTCTCCAGGCAAACAAGACCCATTCCAAGCCAACTGGAAACACTCAAAAGAGGACACAGAGAAGGGGGGGCATGGCTTGGGGAGGGGCATTTTGTAGTGAAAGTCCTGAGGGTCAGAAGGAGAATCCTGCGAGGCTGCATTTGGCCGCACTAGAGTTGTCGGGTCAGGAGCACCACAGAACGTGAGATTTCAGGGCCCAAACCTGAGACCAAGAGGTGGACCTTGGAGACGGAGGTTAATTGGGAATGGCGGAAGGCAGACCCCACCCCCAGTGTCTGTGCTATCATTTGCAGCCAGCTCCTGCTGAAGCTTGCAAGCTGCACCAACAGCCTTCTTAATTTTTGTTTAATTAAAGGCACTCTCCCCCACCTGGAGATTCAAATTCTCCACCTGGAGGGAGAAAACCTGGAGACCTGGAGGTCTGGCAACCCTAAACCAGGGTTCTCCCAATGGCCTCCAGACAATTGTGTGCCTCTATTGTAAATGTATTCTTACTTCATTTAACTGGCAGTGTTCGGAGACAAGGCGTACTGTTTATTCTTAAGGGCTAAAGATTTCTCAGCCACCAATTTCCTATGTTACGCTGATTCCGGACTCTCTGAGGGCTGCTGTGCCCCCAAAAGGTGGCCTAGAAATCTTAGCAGAAAATACACAAGAAAGGGCTCTGTGTTTATATGCACTTAGGTGCCGTGGGACCTCTGTGTGGTGTAGACAGTACTGAAGTACTTCAGTATAAGGTGGCCTCTGGGGTTAAAGTAGACTAAAGTATAAAGGGGTTGGACCAGGTGTGAAGAAGAATTGGGCTCATAAATCTGGCTGGCTTTTGTTCTGGCTGAGGACCAAACCAAACCGTCCTGCTCACTTTGACTTTTTCCGTATATAAAACAGGGAGTGGGAACAGAATGTGCGAGAGGCATCTGCATTCAGAAACATCTCTTAATGTTTAACATCCTGTCAGATGGAAGATTTTCTGTGACATGAACTCTTTGACTCGTCCCAATCAATGAAGGGGTGGTGGTGGTGTTTTTTTTCTAAGCCTTGCATTTTCTTATTACAATTCCCCCGCTCCCCAAAAAACAAGCTACCACCCCTATTCCTCCAAGCAGCTAAAAACCATATAGAGGGTCTCCTTCCCTCCCTGAACCAGTTGCTTTCTCCTCCTAACAACCCTGTGAGGTAGGTTGGCTGAGAGAGAGCGATTGGCCAAGATATTCTTCTGCATGGCCAAGGGAGAATTTGCACCTGGGTCTCCCTATTCCTTGTTCAACATTCTTAACTATTGACACTACAGCAGATGGTCCAGTGTGGGTATTCCACTTCAATCGCTTTTGCCAATATATTGATATCATGTTTCATAAATTGGGGCAGTGTGGGGAGAAGGGAATATGTATTTTAATAAGGCAACCATTTGGCTTCCTGTTCATTGAGTTTTCCACCCGCATTCCCCTTTATAAACCATCCAATTCCACCCACCCCCAACTTGCCCCTGTAATGTTTGACATCTTTTTTATAGATAGCTTAAACCTGGATTGCAGTGTGTCTACTTTAGTGTAAGAATCCCTGAATTATCGGTTGTATGAATCCAGCTAAGATCCATCCCCCCCACAAAAAGTGTCCAATTTGCTACATCTTGCCAATGGAGCTTATCTATGTTTACTCAGAAGTAAATCCTTGTGTGTTCAATGGAGCTTACACACTCTAAGTAAGTGTGATTAGGATTGCTGCCCGGTGTCTATCGCTATTTGAGATATCTGTGAAAGGATTTATGGAGGGCAGTGGGTTAGTCATTAGCCAGGATAGTTCAATGGTTCCTCAATGTTCAGAAGTGTAGCTCTTAAGCGTCAAAATGCTCAAAATGTGTAGTACCTTCCAGCCACCATTTTGTGCAAGACACTATAGATGGGGATGCAGAACCCAGTAGGGCATTGGAGAGTGGATGGGGGGGTGGGGTGGGTTTACATTTCCTAGAGTAGTATAAACTCCCAGTTTCCTATTAACAGGATTGCTAAAAACTGATATTAACAGATGGGGGGGGGTTGCCATAAGTCACCAATAGATGTCGCTCTTCAGCGAAATGGTCTTGTTTGACAGTTGGGTTGGAAAGGCTGTTTGGGTTGCGGAGATTCACCTGCAGCCTTAGAACCCACCCTAGCTCATAAAGGAAACTTTGGGATTGTGCCAAAGGTGAGAGGAAACTGTGACATAACAGTAGTCGTTTGCTTGTAGGAAACTTCTTTTGTTTCCACAGCGTGGTGACCACATGTCACTCAGAAGACAGTTTCTGGTCTTGTCTGTTGACGTGGTCCTTTTGTATTCCCCAAGTCTGAATTCATCAAAGCTCCCCCCTCCCCATGTTATGCTGGATTCATCAGCTTCCCGTTGCCCCCCCCATGCCGTTAAATCCACCAAGCTACACTCTTGGGGGATGCATAAAAATCCAGACTTCTGGATTGGAGACGAGAGATTGTGGGGATGCCCTGACCCCTCACCCTGGCTCCCCCCTCCCACTCGGTCCTTGTTTAAATAGCCCATCTGCTGCAACGTCTCTTTTCGGAAACACCAAAAGCCGGACAAAGCGATTTCTCATTATTTTCAAAAGTTTTATTTTTGTAGAAAAAAAATATTAACAAAGCTCGTCGCAAGAAACACTGAGCTGCGATTTTGTTCAAGTCCATGGACCAGAAAAAGCTCGACATATAAAGTGCCTGTTTGCTTGAATGCAATTTTCTCGTTCTGAGAGAGAAAAAATCAAGACAGAGAAAGGCGAATGTAAACAAGAAGCGGCTTTTCAACAGCCAACTCCCCCCCCTCCCCAAAACAAGCCCCTCATAGTCCCAAACATTGGGGCTGAGGGGCGCAATAGAGAGTTTTGGCAGGTTATTTTCAGCAGCAACAATGGTTAAATTCTTCTGGAGTTGCTCCACAGAAAACATCACAAAGAGACAGCCTTGAGAGTAACTTCACAGTTCAATAATGGCTGTTTTTCCCCTCCCCCCTCGAACCCCCCCCCCCAGTACTTTAAAGACAAAATACAATGCAGAGAGACAGGAAGGGAAACATTTCTCCTTCCCACAAAGTTTTTTCTTTCTTTCCCTTTCTTGCAAATGTCTCTCTCTTCTCCACGTTCAAGTTCTTAAGTCCATCTATCGGCCAGGGAACTCCCGCTGGCAAATCCCAAGCCAGCTCACCTCCAAAATCTTAAAAACCGAAATCGTGGGGAGCCGTTGGAAAAAGAGCCCCCTTAAAAGAGCTTGGAGGAATTGTGGCCTTTGGCATGGGCGCTGCGTCGCCGCCCTTGGCAGAGAAGGCGCATGCTGCCGCTTCTGCCGCTGCCGTAAGCGCTGGCAAGAGTTTTTTGGTAGTAAACAAGAGGCTTCCCATCTCCGCTGGGAAGGTCTTTAAGGCAAGAGAGGCTTAGCTGATCACACAGCGCTCTTTGTCCTTCGACTGCCCTCCCCGGGTGGTCTTCTCGCGAATGTACATGAGGTCGCTGTGGACGCTTGGCCGGCGGGCAAAGGGAGCCACGATGCCATAGGCGTCTCCGGCACTATCTCCTGATCCTTCCTTCAAAAACTTTTTGCTTTTGAGAGTTTTCTTGTGCAAGAGGTCACAGTACTGAATGGACACTTTCCGGTGGAGGTCTGGGCTCATTTCGCTAGGCAGTTTGGCCATGGTGAAGAGCGCCTGGAACATCTGGTCCAAGCTGCTATTCTTCTTGGCAGAGATCTCGAAGTAGGCACATTTTTTGGGGTCCTGCCCCACCAGCTGCTCGATCTCTCGGGGGCCAACCTCGCGGTAGAAGTCGCGGTCGCCTTTGTTCCCGCAGATGACCAGGGGAACATCGATGTTCTCCTTGGTTTTGTTCTTCAGGCAAGACTTGGTCTCCAAGATCTGGTGCTTTAGGCGTTGCACCTCCTCGAAGGAGTCTCGGTTGTCCAGGCTGAACACCAGAATAAAGACGTCTCCTGCAGAAAAGGAAGAAGATGGGAAACAAGGTTAGGATCTCGGTAGGTTTTTGAAAGCATTCCCTGCGCTCACCCATCTAGCCCCAGAGAAACCAAAGCAAGCCAGCAGGTGGAGTGGTTGGGTGTTTTGGAAGAACTGCTTTCTGCCTGGAAGCCCTCTAAGCCGTATGTTTTTCCATCTACTTGTGCAAGTGTGTTTATTTGGGAAGTGTGCCTTTCGCTGGAAAGGTGGCAAGCCAATCTACATTCTTGCGGGAAACCTGCAAGGATTTTCAAATGGTACAGGAGAGAGCAAAATCTCACCGGTAACCTTCCTTTTGGCAGATAAATTCCCTTCCCGTTTCCCCTTTGCTCCCTTTCAAAAGATTGCTCTGGCATTGATTGCAAAAGCCAGAACTAAGTTGCAATGTAACCTGTGCAGATAATAAAAGCTAAGAGCTCAAACTTGCATTGCTCAATTTTTAAGGAACTGGGCAGTTGCAAAGGGTTTTGGATATTGTTGTTGCAAAATTGCAAAGGTTTTGGATTTTGGTTTTGCAAACTGCCCCGTTCATTAAATAAGCAGCGATGATAGGACTAAAGCAAAGCACTAGGGTGGCTACAATCTTCATGCATTTACCCAGCAGTAAGCCCCACTGAACACATTGCGACTTTTACTTCCAAGTAAGCATTTCGGCTGCATGCACATTGATTCCAAAGGGCATCAGCAGCACTGAAATGCCATTCCGACTGCAAAAGGCAGTAAGAGAAGCCTGCCTGAGGAACGCTTTTGCTTCTCACGCTAGTTTCTGCTCTCTCTCTCTTTCTCTCCGCACTTCAGCCTCTATCAACAGGTGTTTGAAACACCAGCAAATCCGCTGAGCCTGGTCCATGAGTTTACAGACCAGGAGCGGCAAATTCTCAAACCATTTCCAAAACATGAGCAGCGTCGTATTTTGGGGATGGATGGCTCGCAAGGCAATGCCGTCAGCTAAAGGATCTGCACAATTTGGAAAACAGCCGGCAAACCGAGAGAAGAGCTATTAATACTATTACTAATTCTAAGATTAATAGTAAAAATGGGGGGTATTGATTTTTCTGAGATGCGCTGATGCGCTTCGCCTATTGCAGCCAACCCCAAACCCCAAACCCTTCGGCGCGCGTGTTCCCCGTCCTGCCTCTCACCTGTGAGGATGGAGAGGCGTCTCATGGCCGGGAACGGGTGGTTCCCCGACGTGTCGAGGATGTCGAGCTGGTAAACTTCCCCGCGGATGCTGTAGAACTTGCGGTGGAAGTCCTCGATGGTGGGCGTGTATTGGTCGTCGAAGCGGCCGGTGAGGAAGCGGGAGACGATGGCCGTCTTGCCCACTTTGGACGAGCCCAGAATGACCATCCGGTAGCAGTTCTTGGCCGGGATATTGAGCTCCGAATCGCTGGGACCCATTTTCTTGATCATCTCGGCCAGGCGCATCGGGAGGCGAGGAGCAGGAGCCGCGGCGGAGATGCGAGAGGCTGCGGAGACGGCAGGCTGGCAGCGGCTTCCCAGGTCCAGCAAGGAGCGCACGGAGAGGCTGGGATCAGTTGGAGTAAACTCAAGCGCCGCGCCTGTTTATATAGCCGCGGAGCGCGGCCGGCCCGCCCCTTCGGGGGAGAGAAGGGAGGGCGCGCCGAGAGAGGGGCTGGGCTTCGCCCGGGTGCGCAAAGCGGCTCCGCAGGGAGAAGTCGGGACCGGTTTTGGACGGCTCTGGGCAGAGGCAGAGGACGGAGGCTTCTGCTGAGTCAGAACACTGGGCTCGTCGAGACCAGTGTTGTCGACACTGGCTGGCAGAGGCTCCCCGGGGTTTCAGATAGGATTGCTCGGGGGAACATAGGAAAGTGACCTGCCAGGTCCATCCTGCTCAATATTGTCGACACGGGCTGGCAACGGCTGTCCAGGGTTTCAGATAGGTTTGCTCAGGGGGAGCATCGGAAGGTGGCTTCTGCGGAGTCGGACCACTGAGTCCATCTATGGCAGACACGGGCTGGCAGAAGCTCTGTAGGGTATCAGGCGGGGGTCTGTCCTGCGGGTTGAACCTGGAGCGCTCGGCGTGCCAAGCAAAGGCTCTCCCCCTGAGCTCGGGCGTGTGATATATGGGGGAGCGAGGTCGTTGGCTTGCCAGCGAGCTGGCTACATAATTGAAAGAGCCAGACAGGCAGGAGGAGGAGGAGGAGGAAGAAGAGGGTCAGGGAGGGTCTTCGCCCCGAGGAGCTTCCAGTCTCAAACCGGGGCACGCACATAAGGAGGAAGGGAGAGGCGAGGGTCCACAACACGCCTAGGCGCAAGTCCGAACAAATGCCATTTACGCCCAATGCAGAGCGCGTTTACTCAGAAGTAAGCCCTGCTGGAGACAGCGAGGCTTCCTCTCAAGTAAACATCCACAGGGGGGCAGCCTAATTTCGGCTGTTTTTCAGTTGGAGAGAGACAGCGTCATTTTTTCCTGCACTGTTTGCAAGCCTGCAAACTCTCCAAGCTTGACATCTACATTTTCCTTCCTTGACTTCTCAAAAGCTGCAGGCCTTGGCAAACCTCCCCAGCAGGGGGAACTTCCAGGAGGAGTTCCTGCTCCTCTCTCTGCAAGGGATCAAACTGAGCCCTGGCGCATCCACACCATACATTTAAAGCTCTGCCATACCGCTGGAAGGCTGTGGAGACACATCCAAGGAATCAGAACACTGGCAGATTCTGAAATACCGGTATTTCTTCATGCAGAGTTGAGTTAAACTATGGAACTCACTTCCACTGGAGGCAGGGATGGGCACCAGTTTGGACCGCTTTAAAACAGGATTGGACAAACACATGAATGATAAAGCTGTCAATGGCCACTAACCACGATATGTGCCACGCTTTGCCTCCGCTGGGAACTGAAGTCTTCCCACGGGCTGGATGCTGCGCTAGGTGGCTTTAAAAAAACCACAGCTTCCATCCAGATTGAGAAAAAGAATGACTTATGTGTGTTTTAAGCCGGTCATGTGTGCACAGCCAAACACACATGGAGAATCCTGGGAACTGTAGTTTGTTGAGGGTGCTGACCTCACAGAGATACAATCCCTAGCACTCTATAAAAGCTACAGTCTCTATGGTGGTTAAAGAGGCACAATGGTGCTTTAAATGTATAGTGTGGATGTTTGCTCAAAGGGTGTGGTTTTTTTTGAACCATTAATTTTAGAAGCAGCCCCAGAACAAGTGAAAAGCATCCCTTGAGCATGTGCAGAGTGGATAACCACAGCTGTAAACCTGCAACGATAGGTTTAGATGGCTTTGCGAGTTCAGGGTTTAAATCTCACCCTAGTCCTGGATGACTTTGGGCAAAACACTGTCTCTTGAACTCAGTTTTCCTGTCTGGAAAATGGGAGTAGAAGTTGACTTTTTATTGCTGCTGTTACATTCCTGGTGCAAAAAAAGAACAACAACTTTAAAGAAGTCTTTTTTGGGGGGTGCACTGCATCCTACAAGTCCCTGTGGATTTTTTTTAAAATTACAGGCGACAGGTGCTCTAAAAGCAGCTAAGAGGCTGTTATAAAGCTGGCAAATTCCAGAAGGGCATCTTCTAAGTCATCAACTCGCTCATTGGCTGCCAGCTGGCTGACTCTTGCTCTCTGCAGTAATAAATAAGACTTGTTCTCTCTCCTTCTCATTTGCAAAATAAGAGGTGCTGTTCCAAAGCACTTGACGGAGTGGAGAAAAGAAAAGTCTTGATCAGCATTAGGATATAAGTGTGTGTGTTGGAATGAGTGGGGCAGACGGGGATGAAGAAACCACTGTCATAATCAGCATTGTTGCTGGTTAGAATCAATTCCAGTTCCACCTCTTAAACCAGGGGTCAGCAAACCTTTTCAGCAAGGGGCCGGTCCACTGTCCCTCGGACCTTGTGGGGGCCTGGACTATATTTTGGGAAAAAAATATGAATGAATTCCTATGCCCCACAAATAACCCAGAGATGCATTTTAAATAAAAGCACACATTCTATTCATGTAAAAACACGCTGGTTCCTGGACCGTCTGCGGGCCGGATTGAGAAGGTGATTGGGCCAGATCCGGCCCCCGGGCCGTAGTTTGCCTACCCATGTCTTAAACACACTCCTTTCAAACTCCCTCTGGGAGCAAACCATTCCTGCTCCTGCGTACACCACTTTGCTGAAGAACATCAGGAGAGCCTGGCAGCCGAATCAGGCCAAAGGCAACATCCTCTAGCCAACTAGGGACCTTTGGGAAGGCTGCAAGCAGGATGTGAGTGCAAATAGCCCCATCCCCACTTGTGACTCGCATCAACTGGTACCCAGAGATATGCCACTTCTGACCCCATAGGCAATATGGCCCTCGTGGCTAGTAGCCATTGATAGCTCCTCCACTCCCCGCTGTCAAAATCTCCACTACGACCGAGCGACTCCTCTGGTGAGTCCTCCGACGATAATTAACGACCTGAGCCTCTGATAAGGCTCCAAGCACGTTCCCATTCAGCAGAGTTTCAAAGCAGCAGAAGTGATGAGATTTATGAGCTACATCGCAAGGTTTTATTTTCTAGCTACACAGACAGAAAAGAAACAAGCATGCTCTCTCTGTGAAAGCAGAAAGCAACTGAAAAAAACAAAGGAGCAGGAAACTAGTAACGTCACATCCTTCTCCTGTCCTCCGTGAGACTTCCAACAGCCTGGAATCTCTGGAATGCAAAACAGATTCTTGTGACTCCAGAGCACTGCACAGTGGCAACACACAGAAACTAACATCCTCCCCCTTTCTGTGAACACCACTGGGCAGTGTGTCAGTATAATCTCAGTACAAACCCAGTTTCTGTACATAGGTACTGTGTTGATCCTTCGGAACAACCTTGGACAATAAATCAGCCTTCTAAGTTAATGGCCATCTCTGCATCTTCTGCACCAGTGGGGGGGTCAGCTAGGTGCAGAAAATCTCTTTTGCCTGTTCTGAACCTCCCACTTTTTGGTTCCCTTGCAGGACCCCACTAGGTCCTAGCATGGGAGAAATAATAATAATAATATTAATAATAATAATAATAGTACCCTACCCATCTGACTGGATTACGCCAGTCACTCTGGATGGCTTCCAACAAATAGAAAAGCGTAATAAAATGTCAGATATTAAAAGCCTCTCTGTACAGGGCTACCTTTCAGAAAGGCTCCTCTCCATCCATTTTCTCCTTGACAGTTGTAATCTAGAATTAGGAGCAGCGCCTACCCCTGGTGAGACATTGCAGGAAGCGATGCTGAAAGTTTCAGGGCACGCCGATTTATTTGTTATGGGGCCATTCGCAAACCAAGGTCACCGCCTTAGCAGCCACCTGAAAATGTATGTGTGAACAGAAAGGTTGGGGGGTGTTTTCCTGCCTCCTCCCTCCCTCATTTCATGAAAATGTCTTCGTAAGGAAGAAACCAAGGCAATGTGCTGAAGTGGGGAGGTAAAGGTAAAGGTAAAGGGACCCCTGACCATTAGGTCCAGTCGTGGACAACTCTGGGATTGCGGCACTCATCTCGCTTTACTGGCCGAGGGAGCCGGTGTACAGCTTCCGGGTCATGTGGCCAGCATGACTAAGCCGCTTCTGGCGAACCAGAGCAGTGCACGGAAACGCCATTTACCTTCCCGCCAGAGTGGTACCAATTTATCTACTTGCACTTTGACGTGCCTCTCTGCCTGACCTGCCTCGCAGGGTTGTTGTACTTCTTTTGGAGGAAGAGGGATAAATATGCAATTAATAATAACCATACTAAAAATGCACTTCCGCACATTTTAAAAGAATGCTTACGTTAATGACAATGTTATTTATTATTATTTTTAGCCCTAAGGTAAAGCGCTGTTTTCCTTCAGGTATAATTTTTTACAGCTTGCTGAAAGAAAATGGCAAGGCCGAGAGGATGATGTCCGTACGGTTTGAGAAATTTATCCCCGCAGTATCTGGTGCATGCTATGGAAAGATGATGATAATGACTATATCCTGTGAAGAGATATCATTCAGAACAGGCTTTTCCAACCTGGCAGCCTCCAGACGTCTTGGATTACAACTCGCAACATTGCCAGGTTGGCAAAAGCTTGGCTTGGTCCATGTGCTGCAATACCTAGTTTGTCCACCGCAGGGAGATAAAGGGCACAGTTTTGCGCTGTTGCTGCTCAGCTTTCTAAGGCCGGAGAAACTTTTATTTCTCTCCTGAAATGTTTGGAAAGCCGACCAAACAAAAAAGTTTCTGTTCATTGGGGTGGGGAGAATTGGAGGGGGGAGTGCAGATTTACTAAAGCACGTGGTAAAGCCCCACGTGGGAGCCAGGGAACAGTTGGTTTGGGTGGCACAGGTGCCAAAATAGACAAGGAAAGAGAATTAAGCAGGAAGACCCAGATGTACCTGGAGCCAACGCTGAGCCCCAGGGCACAAGAAGGAAAACTTATCCTTTTAAATAGCCAGACAAGCAAACAAACAGGTGCATATAATTGTGTTGCTGTTGAAATCCGTTTGCCCTGAGAGACAATGGAGTGAGCCTTCGGGGGTGAAGTCAAAACGCTGCATTAGCATCACTCAAGTGACTTCCTCGGGGCACAA